TAGACTACTCAGCCAATCTCAAACCGTAGTAAAACCAAAACCAAAACCAAAGTAATTGTCTAATTACTTTTGACACTCAATTGAAAACCGCTCTATGACTATCAATTGAAAACCGCTCTACAAGATATCATTATAATTAGGTTTCCAACCATTAAAATATGTGTGTTAGTAAGGCCAATCACGCTGCGAGTAAAGTCAACCATTTGTTGCTAAGGTGATGACATAATATCCTTTTAAAATTCCTTCTAAACTTCGTAAACGACACGGAAAAGTTGTAAAGTATTTGCTAGAGATCACTGCGAGGCACTGATAGGTCCATCATCGTTTTCTTCAGCAATGGCGGATAGCACAAGCGGATGTCCTTGCAGGCAGTACATGGACGAGCCGGGAATTCAGTGGCGTGAAGGAAAACCTGACTATACAAAGGTTAATAAAGCCTACTTAGAGGGAAGAACACGAACACACAACGAAGGCTCACTAGAGAAGATTGTGGAAGATTTGGTCAAAACCTGGGAAATGGAGGCTTTTCATAAAACCCGAATCGAGGTATTCCAATCTCCATTCCTTCAATTCATCCGAAATCATGGGTATCTGAAAAACATTTTTGTTTTCAAAATGCAACGTTATGCGCAATTGCGAATAACTCTTTTGAAGTGAAGTGTATCGTGTTTTAATATTGCATCCTTCAATTAGTCAGTGTGATAATCCCACAAACACAGACAAGATGCGTATACGAATTTCTATTGTGGGTTGCATAGCTTGGCTTGTTAAGAGAGGGGACGGAAGCGAAGAAAACTCAAAGGACCCACAGGCTTTAATCTGCATGACTGACCCCGGGACAGATCAGCATGTGAAGAGTAAAACTAAAATATTTGCACGCGCTCATTTAAGACCTCCAACATACATGATGAATGTAAACCCGCCCTCAAATTGTAGGAAACATTGGAACAATAGTAAATAGGGTTTAACCTCAGTAAAGCATCTTTATTTATTGCCATTCGAAATTGACCCTTTTTATGATATGCAAATTTATGCCTGCATGCTATTCCCATAACAGTGCTAAGTCCGTTTTCTTTTGAATTATATATCCATTTAAGTAACACGCATCAACCGGGAAGAACAATTTATTTCGTTTTGTTCATCCTAAACCTCTTCACTTGCAGGACTGGCAGACTGTTGATAGAGAGGCATTTACTATCCGCGCAAACAACCAACGTTCTTTCAACATAAAGGAAGCCATTGAAGAAGGAAGCTACAACATCCTGATGCAGAACCAACCGCTGTACAACAGTGAGGCTCACACTTTTGAATCATCAAACAATTTGTTTAGGTCCGCCTTCAGCGAGGGGTTTCCATGGGAACTGCTAGAGGTCTTCTCAGGTAACGATTAATTTATAATCAGCAAGAAACTTGACTAGCTCAGACTCTTACCCGAGACTGGGAAGGGTCTGGGGAGGGAGGGTCTTACGCCGTAAAATGTAACAACTAACGCAAAATGTAACATTGACGCGAAATGTAACAACTTGTGACGCAAAATGTAACATCAACTCAAATTGTAACAACCTTTGAAGAAAAATGTAACAATTTCTTAACAAGTTTTCAACACAAAATGTAGCAACTTCTTTAACGCTGAATGTAACAAAGCAGTTGTATCAACGTTTTCGATAGATTGTTACTGAGTAAAGCTTACGTTACATTGCTTTTCAGCGTGTGCGGGTGGCTAAACTTGGTCACAACAACCTTCAGCACAGCTTTAGCCATTATCATTCGATGGTCTAAGCCTTATGAAGTTTGGATTTTTCGGATTCCCAAATAAATAAACTGCTGTTTATCTGATTTTACCATCAATACCAGTAATGGAAAAGTGGGAAAGAGGAGCNACGAGTAGCTTTCTCTTGGCGCCACTGGGCACACTGGACGGGCCCCTACAAAGGAAGGGCCCCGACGGGTGAATTACTGGAATTGCATGGAATGGCTGTGGCGGAGGTTGACGAGAATTTAAAAATCAAGTCGATCGATGTTCATTATGATCCTAATCAGCTCCTTATGAAGCTAGAAGGAAAGAAGTAAATGATCAAAGCACAGCCATTAGCAGAACTGTCAAGTCATCATGTTTCAGTTATAACGTAGAATAGAATCAATCGCAAATCTTAAAGTACCGTAAAATTCCGTTAATTAGTAAGCATTCCCTCAAAAACGGCATGGGCTTCCCGAAAATAAGCCACACAAACCTCAGACGAAAGTCCTTACAGTTAATAAAAGTAAACCTGAATACAAGACCATGCAGGCCATATTAGATCGCCTTGTTTCGTATTTTATGTCGCTAGAGTGTGCTTAAGACAGTTTTAACCCTTAAAAACGTCCAAGTTAAAATCATTTTTCCATTTTGAAAATGAGGCTGTAGTCTGATGGATTGGTGCAAAATTTTGACTGAAAAACTTTCAAGTGCCAATCGCAAATCGTACGCTGCTCTTTAAACATCTTACTGGAAAAAGCGAAACCAACAGTTAGGTCATACAACTGGCAAGCGA